AGAGGGGAGAAGGGAGAGAGGAGAGAGCAGAGGGGAGAGGGGAGAGGGGAGAAGGGAGAGGGGTTGGGATGGCAGGGTTGATCCACCCGGACTTGCCCTGATGAAAACTGTGCCGCCTCCTCAGCTGTGGCTAAAATCACAGACAACAACTTTGCAGCTGTTAGGTTTGGTTTCTTGTTCTTTTTTTTCCCAAACAAATACAGTTGAGCTTTGCCCTCAGAAGAGCTCTGTCCTTCGGGGTAGCCCCTGCGGCCTCAGCACACACACACCATGGATGCTGCTGGGGCTGAAAGTGAGCTGGGCCCCTCCACGGGACCTCTGAGGCTGCAGGGTGTGAGGCTGCAGGGGGTGAGTCTCTAAGGGAGGTGTGTGATAAGCCAGCACGCTACAAGGCAAGGGGTCAAGCTTCTAAAAAGAAGCTGTTTTAATTTCAGCACACATGTGGACATTTTTGTGATTTCAAATAGCAAAATGTTTTAAATTATGTATAGGTCCTAAATTTTACACATGGGGCTTTTGGTTCATTTCAGCATCTGCAGCCTCTAAAGGACGAATATTTATAATTTTTAAGGCTGTTCAGGAAGAATAAAAAATAAAAAGAACGATAATCCCAAGACACAGCCGAAGGAAGTGCACAAAGACGTTCAGAAGGAACAGTGGATCCTCAGTGGGATGGGTCTGTTTGGGTCTGTGTGCTAAGCCATTTCCATGACCTTACCAGAAGTTGAGGCTCATCTCTCCCTACTCACAGGCAGCGGGGGAGCCCTCCCACTGCAGGCGTAACTTCAGTGTTCTGGAACCTTCCTGACCCCTTCACCTCATATCCTCAGGACTCTTCTCCTTCTGGTGGATAGAAGCTGGGTTGGGTGGTTGTGTCAGAGGGAGCATGGTGGAGGAGGGGGTAGTGTTGAGTACATTTTTAAGGGAGTGCGTTTTGGAAGAGGAATGCTAATGGTGGACATCCCTGCTCTGTAGCCCTGAATGCCACCTCTCGCCACCCCCGCACACCCTCCGATATTCCACCATGGTCACTGATCTGATGGACTTCAGATTCTAGCCTTCACTCTGGTTCCTGGGAGGCCGTGCATCCTTGATTCAGTTTCTCTCCTACTCCAGTCTGTGTGTCTTCTTCTAGAATGGTTGAAAGTGCAAGAGGCTGCGGTCGGGTACAGTGGCTCACACCTATAATCCCAGCACTTTGAGAGGCTAAGGCCGAAGGATTACCTGTGGTCAGGAGTTCGGGACCAGCCTAGGCAACACGGTGAAACCTGGTCTCTACTAAAATACAAAAAAAAAAAAAAAAAAAAAAAAAAAATTAGCCAGGCATAGTGGCACGCACCTGTATCCCAGCTACTCAGGAGGCTGAGGCAGGAGAATTTCTTGAACCTGGGAGGCAGAGGTTGCAGTGAGCCAAGATCATGCCATTGTACTCCAGCCTGGGCAACAGAGTGTGACTCTGTCTCAAAAAAGAAAGAAAGAAAGAAAGAAAGAAGGAAGGAAGGAAGGAAAGAAGGAGAAAGGAAAAGAAAGAGAAAGGAAGGCCGGGCGCGGTGGCTCACACCTGTAATCCCAGCACTTTGGGAGGCCGAGGCGGGTGGATCACGAGGTCAAGGGATCGAGACCATCCTGGTCAACATGGTGAAACCCCGTCTCTACTAAAAATACAAAAAATTAGCTGGGCATGGTGGCGCGTGCCTGTAATCCCAGCGACTCAGGAGGCTGAGGCAGGAGAATTGCCTGAACCCAGGAGGCGGAGGTTGCGGTGAGCCGAGATCGCGCCATTGCACTCCAGCCTGGGTAACAAGAGCGAAACTCCGTCTCAAAAAAAAAAAAAAAAAAAAAAGAAAGAAAGAGAAAGGAAAAGAAAGAAAGAAAAGAGAAATAAAGAAAAAAAGAAAGAAAGAGAAAGAAAGAAAGGAAGGAAGAAAGAAAGAAAGAGGTCCTCAGGCAGGCTCACTAGGCACCAGAAGGAGGAGAGCTCAGAGTCCTGGTCCCTCAGAAAGTCTCTCTCCTAAGAGATCAGAGACCAGGAATGAGACACACGCTCTCCTCTCCTCCTGCATCCACCCACCTCCCCAAAAGCACCAACTTAGCAGACATTTGCTGGGTACTTGTGACACCTCAAGCTGTGCACCAGTCCCCTGGGAGGAATGAAGATGTCAGAGGATACACCTGGAGCCCCTGGATGACAGTGACTTATTCTTACTCTCTTTCAGAAATGGCTGATCCCTGGCAGAGTTTGGGCTTTGAGGTTTCGTAGAGATCGAGAAACCAAGCATATTAGGGGGTGAGGGGTCAGGAGAGGGGCTGACTGAACCCACAGGCCTCCCATGTATGCCCTCCCCTCAGGGTGCTCCTGTGTCCCTCTTGGAGACTATGCAGAAATGGGAAGAATATCAACGCCAGTGCCAGCGCAACCTGAGTGAGGCTCCACCTCCTGCCACAGGTGAGTCCAGGTGGGCTCCCCACTTTTAGTGCTCCCCACCCAACCAACACCTGGAGGACTTTGAGGAACCCCACATCCATGGCTGGGAGTCACTTGCCTCTCTAGGACACCACCCCTGCCCTCTGCTTTCATCTCATTGTCTAAGCCGAATGCCTCACCTGGATGCCTTCCTTACCAAAATCCTCCCGTTCTTCAGCCTGCAGACATACTACCTCCTCCAGAAAATCTTATCCAGGACCTCTGCCATCACTTGGCTCTGACTCATTTGCTGGAATCAGCTTTGGGGTTGCCGTGTTATTTCCGTCTTAGCTGTCTTACCTATGTGTACCCCACCCCACCCCAGTGAGCCTCCCAGCTAGAGCCTCTCAGAGCGGGGATCCGACCTTTGAGGTTTTGTCCTCATCACCTCCCAGCCTGTGCATGGACAGAAGGCTCCACAAACATATTCATAGGAATAAATGTTTTAGGGAGTTCACGAGGTGGTTTAAAAAGAGCACAGGATCGGAGCCCGGTGGGCCTGGGTTGAAATCCTGACTGTAATTATGACACAAGACCTAAAGAAGATTATCTCAGGTGAGATCAGAGGGAAGTGAGGTAATATTTCCCTCTGATCTGTGAAGTGCAGTTTAAGAATAGGCCTATAGGGATTGTTTGTTGAGCACTTGCTATGTTCCCTTATCTATATAACATACAGTCTTGATCCCACAAAGCCCTGTGGGGCTGGAAATACTCCTGTTTTACAGATGAGGAAACAGACATTAAGGTTACTTGCTCAAGGTCCTGCCACTGAAAAGTGGCAAGTGCCCCTGCTTGGCTCTTGCTGGGTGGGGAAAGGGCCTGGCATACAGCAAGCACTCAGCAGAGGTTAGTGGCATGCAGGCTTCGACGAGGGGAGGGGTCTTGGGGAAGGGAGGGAAAGCACCTGGCCAGCCTCAAGCAGGGACTCAAAGACTCTTCTCTCTCCTCCCAGGCTTGTTCTGCAACCGGAGCTTCGATGGCTACGCCTGCTGGCCAGATGGGCCACCAAGTTCTTTCGTGAATGTCAGCTGTCCCTGGTATCTGCCCTGGGCCAGCAGTGGTGAGCACCTGCCTCCCTCCCCCTTTCCCTGTATCCAGGAGGCTGGGTAGAGGCACTGCTTCCTTTCCTCTGAGACACAGCCCTCCCCGCTCAGAATGTCTTTAGCCCTCCTAGTGAGTGGTCCACCACTGGGGTGGAAAGAACAGTCAGCAGTGGTAAGTGTCAGGATGGCCTGAGGTGCCACTTGGGCCTGAGCACGAGGCCAGTGCTGGTAGGTGTGTGGCGAAGGGAAAGTATGGGTCTGAAGAGAGAAACACAATCTCCTCCAATCAAGCAGTCAGGAAAGGAGTTGGTGGGAACAGACCTTTGTGGGGAGGGGAGCTACACAGGGTGTCATGGCTCTGCTGTATGTATACATGTATGTGTGATATGTGTATGCAGGTAGCCCATACCTGGCAGTGACATCTAGCTACCTCCTCACTCTTTAGGGGTTCACTGGGAGCAGTGATCAGGGTGCTGGTGGGGTGACCAACCCCACCAGTCTCAGCCCTCCCCAGCTCACTCCTGCTTGCAGGGGGGACCCTGTACTGGGAAAGGTGTGACTGGGTAGGTGGGAAGGTCATTGGGGGTACAGAGATTTGCAGAGGTTGTGGGAGGATCCCTGACTGGAGGGTAAGTTAATGTGCTCCCTTATCTATCTCATCCTTTCTTGTGAGTCCAGTTCCACCCAGGCACCATGGGGGATAACAGGATACAAGCACCCTGATGGCGCTCCCAGTCTCTATAAGAGGAGAAAAGATATTTCCCTATCATCATCATCGTCGTCAATATTTATTGAGTACCTACCCATTTTCAGATGAGGAAACTGAGGCACAGAGATGCTCAGTGGCTTTGTAACTACCCTGTAGTTATGCCTGCTGAACAGATGAGGAAGCTGAAGCACGGAAGGTTTAAGTCACTTGTTCCAAATGATGTGGTCAATGGCAGAGCCAGGATTTGAATCCAATTCATGCTCTTATCATCATGCCTTGAAGGGGCCTGAGCCCAAGCAGCAAGTGGCCCAAAAGCAAGTGCGAGGATGAGGTTATGCTGTGGAGAAGCCAGGAGTCTTCCTGGAGGAGGTGGCCTGGTGGGGCCCAACGTAAGCTTTACCTTGGCACGTGGGACTGAAGTCAGATGAGGGCCAGGCAGGTCTCCTACACATGCTGTCTCCTTGTCCGCCCTCACAGTACACTCACCTCTCCCCAGGGGGCAGGGAGAGGCAGATGCCTGGGTACATCAGGGACCTGCCTTCCCTACTGCTGCCTGTCAGAAGCACTTTCCACGCTACACTCTTTTCATCCTCACAATCCTCCGAGGCAAGTCCTCTGATTACCCTCCCATTTTCAGATGAGGAAACTGAGGCACAGAGATGCTCAGTGGCTTTTGCAAGCTCACACAGCCATTAGTGGGCAACTCAGAAGACTGGTTAGGGTCATTGTGGCTAACTGCTACACCAAAGCCTTCCTTGGGGGTGTGTATGTGCCCTTGCCTGTGGCTCTGGCCTGGAGACAGGTGAGTGGTCTGGGTGCCCTCTGCTGTCTGGGCACACCTCTAGGGAGGGGGATGTGCTGTCTGCCTTCTCCTTATGAACCCTGCCATCTGGTGTTTCTGCTGGCTGGCTGTGTGAGCAGGAGCAACATGCCAGACCTCTCTGTGACTTGGTTGACTCATCTGGGAGATGCAATAGAGCCAAGTGACATGGGTGTGGGGACTGTGGGGCCTTGAAAAATGGTAGTTGTTAATTTTTCCCACCTCCCTACCTGCCTCCCTGACTTCCTGCAATACACATGTTTTCTCTGCCTCCCAAAGATTTGAGACTGGCAGCTCGGCCAGCGTCTGCTGGGCCTCTAGACCCCAGGGAGCCAGGCGCAGGACAGGGCCCATCACTCAACACTAAGCCGCCCCCAGCTCTGCCTGCTGCTTGCAGCTCCATCCATCTCCTTTAATTTTATTTGAGCAGGAAATAGGTCCTGGTGGTGCCCGTTTATGAGTGAACATGGTTTTATTGCTTTCTCCATGAAGATAACGGCCACTGCACAGGCCCCCTGCCAGCCTTTCCCCCACCCCTTCCCCCCGCCACTCGCCAGGCTAATTTACTCCCTTTTTTGACATTCGGAATCACCAACTCTGCCTCCCTCTCCCCACTCCCTGAGTTAGGGATGCACAGAGATACCCACCGCAGGCTCAAGCTGCATAATTGCTGTCTCTGGCGTTTCCTGGAGCTTTCCTTGGCAGAGGGTGGCTGCAGGGGCTTCCCTGACCCCCATCCACGTGTGGGAGCAGGAATGGGACAGTTCTGGAGTGTTCTTGGGCTGATCAAGGGAGTCTCCTGTGGAGAAATGTGACAGTGTGCACTGGTGTCAGGGAGAAGGAAAGGGGATATTTCAGGCAGGGTCCTGGCAGAAAACATGCTCAGCTGGCAATCTCGATAGAATTTAAGTGGAGGGGGGAGTGCTTTTCAGAGGCTGGGCAAGGTAAAAGGACCAATAAGGCACATAAAGCACCAGGGGCTACAACAATGGGAGGTTTCAGCACCCCTAAACCTGAGAAGTAAGGGATAAGAATGGAGCTGGGGCCCCCCATGACAGCTGGGCTACAATGGAGAAGCCACTCAGCAGGGCTGTGGTCACAGAGGGGCAAAGCCACTGCCAGACCTCAAATCAATGCAGGGAGGGAGCAGGGGAGAATACCCAGCCTCTCTCTCCTGCCCTTCTATCTTCTGCCAGTGCCTCCCTCTGGCCCAAACCAACAGAGGCCAGGGAGGCCAAGGGGTGCCGTCCTGTGGCTCAGTCTTCTGGAGTTCAGAGTGGAGCAGAGGAGTGGGTGGCCTGAGAAAGAGCAAAAGTCAAAACAATCACCAGATCCCTGAGCTGGGTCACGCCAGGAGCTGGGGGTGCCACTGAGACCTTAGAGGTGTGTGTATGTTTAGGGGAGAAGAGGTAACCCCCCTCCATGGGTCTGAAGGGATCGGCTCAGTAGCCCAGGCAGTGGTACTGAGGGAGGCTAGAGCCACCCTTCTGCCAAGAGTATGGCATTAGGAAGGCTTCTAGGGACAGGTGGCACTGGAGCCGGGCCTGAAAGAACAGGCCGATGCAGAAGGGAAAAGGGAGGAAGGGATCCAGGCAGCACCTTGGACATGGGGCCAGGCCGTGGGCCTCGGAACTACACTGTCCGGGAGAAGCCAGCCAAGCCCTTGAATTCTGACCCCTCCAACTGAGAATTTGGGACTCAGATCGTGCCAAGACAGCTGGAGCAGATGAGTCAAAGATGGAAGATGTTCAAAGAAAACACCTGGTGCAAAGAAGACTGTGAAGAGGAGGCTGAAGTGGCTTCAGAGAGCCCATTGGCCGCCTGAGGGTCCTCCAGCAGCCTCGTTTACCCATAAACAGCTCATCTGCTTGTTACAAATCATTCCAGCCTCATTAGCTACACCCCCTCCTGATCCCTACCTGTTTGTTAGCTTAGTTCTAATTATATCAGAGTCATAAAATCCTTTTAAAATAACCTATACCTCACAATTCTGGAAACTCTGGTGGGTGCCTCCCTGAGTAATGTCAAGCAGGGGGCTTTTACCATAGCCTGGGGTTGCCGAGGGGAGACTGAGGCCCAAGCTTGGCTCCTGAGGAGTTCTGGCTGAAGTGGTGTCACAAGCTCCATCTCCAGCCTCGGTGAAGGAGTTTCCCTTCGAGAAATCAGTGTGGGAGAGGATGCTTCCAAGGCCTACTATGTAGCGGGCACTTCACATGCTTTATCTTCTGGGAAGTCATTATGGCTCCCATTTTACAGATGAGGAAATTGAGGCCTGGGGAGGTAAAGGGACATGCCCAACATCCCCCAAATGGTTGAAGGCAGAACCAGGATCCGAACTTGAGTCTGTGTTGTTCAGAACCTGACCTCCTTCTCCTAAGCTCTGATATTCCACACTCCCCTTCACCCTGGCCCTGAGCTGATGCCTCCATTTTGAGCCTGGCCTTTGACCCTCATCCCATTCCCTTGGGGAGGGTCTGCGCCTGGACTTTCTGAGTCTCAGCTTCTGCATCTGTAAAATGGAGGCTCAGCCGTCCTTGCTGGCCACCTCGTTGCCAGGGTGCAAGAGCTAATGGATTCATGAGCAGCTCTCCACAGCCCTGAGTGCCAGCATCCACGTGGAAGGGCGGCTGTTAGCTTGATTACAGGCACCGCAGCAGCTTCCGGGAGGGGAAGTGTTTAATTGGGGGTTTTATTTCCAGCAGCAGGGTCTGGGTTAATGAAATATCCCTGGGCCTCCTGGCATGTGGCTGCCCGGCTGCCTCCCTGTGTTGTTGACAAACCTTGAGCCAAATACCTGGCTGTGATTTACCAGCTCCTCCTCAGCCAGATAAAGCGGGGCTGATAAGTAGGGCTATGCCCTGACCCACCCCACCTCCAGCAAAGATGGGCGTCTGGGGACCATGGGCCCAGCCAGGAACCAGCCTGGCTTTTAATATTTGATGCTAATGAAGGGTAATTGGCAGATGCACTTGCACAGGCTCGCTGAGCAAGGGACACAGTGATCCTTTGACTCTGTGCCAGTAATGCACACATCTGTGCACACACCACCTCCCTACCCTCCCAGCTGGCTCTGAACAGAGGGTGCAGGAATGGTGCAGCTGTCGGGGGTCTGCACTGGCAAGGGGGCCCGCTGGGAGGAGACTGAGTGTTGAGAAATCTGAGCCCAGAGGAAGGGCAGAGGAGAATGGCACATGGCACATTCTTCCCTATTAGCAGCAAGTTTGGCTGCTAACTTTAGGCCTCTGGAGGCAAAGAGCTGGGGGATTTAGTCCTGACTCTGCTACTTTCTAGCTGATGTCCTTAGGCAAGTCCTTTGGCTTCTCAGAGGCTCAGTTTCTTCATATGTAAAATGGGACTAACCACTACCTTGAAAAGTGGTTATAATGTGCAAAGGTGTCAGGTGTACAGTAGGCATTCAAAAGCTGATTCTGTGAAGGCATAGCCCATGGGAAGAGCATGTAGTGAGGGAACCTGCAACAAGGCAGTGCCTACTGTATGCCAGGCCCTGTGCCAGCCGTGGGAAGTGGGTCTTACTAGCGTCACATGGTTGCAGGCTGTGTCCTGGGTATACGGTCTTTAGACGGTTTGTGTGCCTGCAGTTCCGTGGCCGCTTCTTCTTTTCCCTGGCCCCTCAACCTTCTTCCTTTCTCCCCATTTCCTCCCATCAAAGCAGGCTGCTTGAGCAGGCTCTGACACCATCTCATTCCACATGGAATAGTCAGCCCAGGTCCCCATCACTGCTTTTGGGGGTCTCTGCAGGAGAACACTGGGTTTGCCTCATGTCAGAAGACTCGGCCCCATGAAAAATCTCAGGCATCCATGCCGCAGATAAGACAGGCATTTGGGAGCCCTTCACATTGCTAAAATCAGACCATGTGCCTCTCCTTCTCTGCCATTGGGGATACGCCTCATTTTGTTTATAAATGCCTTTGAAGGCTATTGGAATATGGTTCTCACTGCTGTAAGTTCCACCATTGTATTTTCAGGTTTTTGTGTTTCTTCCAGGTGAAGTCTCTTTTAAACTGCAGGCTCTTCCGGAAGGAGTCATGCTGCAAGCTGACTCAACCCATTGGGTTACCAGATAATTTCTGTGTCCTGAAGAGGGACCTGGTTCAGGGTTTGTTTGGGAAAGAAGCTGGGAGGGAGGAGAAGAAAGAGCAGGGAGGCTGTTCTGGTGTCTGGGATCAGGGTTAGGCAAGGGCAAGGTCCCTTGGCAGGCCTTGCTGACAGTGCTGGAAGAGGGCTGTCACCAGACTCTGCAGTAAAGTTGTCCCTGCCACATTTTTCACTGGGGTGAAAAATAGAACCCCGAGTCTAGATGGTTGCCTGTGTCCTGGGCCCCTGAGGGGCAGGCCCTAGGGACGTAATCACACACACACACACACACACACACACACACACACACACACACGCGCGCATGCGCGCACACACACACAGACACCTCACATATTAATGAAGCCCCTTCTCAGGAGACCCAGTTCTTTTGTTGTGGTTGGAACAGAACCTCACTTTGCTGCCCAGGCTGGAATGTGGTGGCTCGATCTTAGCTCACTGCAGCCTCCACCTCCCAGGTTCAAGTGATTTTCGTGCCTCAGCCTCCTGAGTAGCTGGGAATAATGGCTAATTTTTTGTATTTTTAGTAGAGATGGGGTTTCGCCATGTTGCCCAGGCTGGTCTTCAACTCCTGAGCTCAGGCAATCCGCCCGCCTCGGCCTCCCAAAGTTCTGGTACTACAGCTGAGAGCCACTGTGCCCGGCTGAGACCCAGTTCTGACTCCTGTCTCTCCACAGGAACACTGACCAGCCGCTGCTGCCAGGGCCTCTGGTGCCTTCTCCATTCTCTGGCCTTCACTCCCTCCTTCCTCCCACAGCTGGGGAAACTGCTCTTTAAAATCTTCTAGTGTTTTGGAATGCTGACGTCTTTTAAAGTTTGTCCTGGCTGCAGCTTCCCTCCTTGGTCCCCCTGTGCTCCCTACAGGCCAGTGTTCTCCCCACCCTCTCACTGTGCCCTTTTGTCTCAAGTTCCTTGGCCCTGGTGTCAGACTGAAGTTCCTCTGCAGGGAGGCCAGGAATGAGGCATTTCCTCCTGGATGCAAGTAAGCAGTGGCCTCTATCAGCCTCCCAGCAAACCTGAGGCCAAGGCCAGGCATCTCCCTAGGTGGTCGACATGGGGCATGGTGGGGGACAGCCTCTGCTGGGATGTCAATGGGCACAGGCAGTGCGCCGCCTAGTTTCTGCGGGGCCTGTGTTTGATCTCTGAATCTATGCCCTTCCTTTCTGAGGTCTTTTTTTGGTTTTTTTTCTGAGTCTTAATTCTCTGAAGCCAGGGACTGTGCCACCATCCTCAGACAGGGAGGTCCCTGAGGGAAGGGTCTGGCTCCCTTTCCTCTCCCCAAGGGCTATCTCCATTTCCAACATGTAATTAGAGGCTCTGTGAAGTTAGGAGCTGGGTCTCCCCCTTTTCTATGGGGAATCTCCAAAGGCCAAGGCTGCATAGGTACCGTGAGGCTGTGTACTGTTCTCAGACGTGGAGGTCCTTGAGGGTAGGTCTGTGTCTCTTCTGTCAGATTAGGACTTCTTATGGGGAGGGCTGTGTGTGTCCCTCTCTCAGATCAGTGCTCTGCCTCTCTTCCCTTCTCGTGGGAACTCAGTGCCAACCTTGTTCCCAGGGTCTGGTTTCCCCAAGGAGTATGGGAGGGAGGTGGGGGCTGAGTCCCGAAAATCAGAAATAGCGAGCGACTGTAGGGCCAGCACGGCGCCAGACCTTGTCAGGAGCGTGATTTGAGGCTGGAGGCAGGGACGTGGAACTGAGCTAAACTCGTCTCACCTCAAAGACATGAATTCACTAAACTGTGTCCTAGGTTGGCTGAGAGGCAGGGCTGAGGGTGGGGCTGAGGAGCCTCTACCTTGGTGACCCCCATCTTGTCCCTGGACCAACAGGGTATATGTCAAGGGAGGAAGGTCCAGGGGTGTGTGTGTGTTGTGGGTGGATGTGTGTGTGTAAAGAAGGGAAAAGGATGTCACTAACTCAGAGGGGTCAGTTCTGGGGGAGCAGGAATAGCTCTCAGGATGGAGAGGAAGGGAGGCATCTAACACCAGGCAGGCTGCCTATTCTGGGCTGAGGCTCAGGGTCAGGTCTCCCCACCCCAGTGCTACAGGGCCACGTGTACCGGTTCTGCACAGCTGAGGGCCTCTGGCTGCACAAGGACAACTCCAGCCTGCCCTGGAGGGACTTGTCGGAGTGCCTGGAGTCCAAGCGAGGGGAGAGAGTGAGTTGACGAAGGGTTCTGAGCCAGGGAGTGGGGAGCAGTGTCTCGGCTTCACTGGAGCAAAGACTCTTGGCTTTGGTGGGGGCATCTGTGGTCATTCCATCCATCCCCCTGCCTCTGGGGGCTTTGCACACCATGCTTTCTGGACAAAGGTGGTGTGTATTCACCTCTTTGGCCTTGGAACGGGACCCAAAACATCCAAGTGCCATTGCTGTAGGTTATGGTTATTCTCTTTCTTGGTCTTGGTATCCCCGGTGAGTCCTGACTTGGGGCCCCAGCTCTGCCTCTGTCCCATGGGAAGGAAGACTGTGGGAAGAGGGCCATGGGCTGCCCATGTACATTTATGTTCCCCGTGTCCGACAGAGCTCCCCGGAGGTGCAGCTCCTGTCCCTCTACATCATCTACACAGTGGGCTACGCACTCTCCTTCTCTGCTCTGGTCATTGCCTCTGCGATCCTCCTCGGCTTCAGGTAAGGTGGCCCAGACCCCAGGAGGGGCTGCTTCGTCCTAGCTTTCCCGGATGGAGGAGTTAGGATGAAGCAGCCCAACACAAAAGCAAAGCAACAGCGCAGCACCGTCTTTCTCTCAAGAGCTCTCTAAAGAGGCCTTACCATAGAATATGAGGTTGAAAACACAGGATATGATACTGTGTTCTCAGTCTAGTCTCCACTATGTAAATGTGTGCATATGAACTGCAAAAAAGAACGAAAATAATACCACACGTGCACTGCCAACCTCAAAACCTTAATGGTCGGTGATGGGGTTATGGAAAATCCCAGGAGATCTTCTCCAGTGAACATGTGTTACTTTAATCGTCAAGAATGTAGTGTGATTTTAGAAAAGATCTTGGGGATTAGAGATCATCCTTCCTTTGGAGCTTTTCGGCCCCAGTGGAAACGTTCCTCCTTAGGTCTAACCTAGATAAGATGTTCCTTCCAGACTAAGAGCTGGTAACAGAGTACTAGATTCTTCCCACTCCTTTGTACTTGGTGGAGGTGGGCCAGGGGGCCTAGGTTCAAAGAGGGGGCAGTCTGGGGGAATGAGACCTCAGGACACCAGGCAGCAAGAGCAGGAGAGGTGGCATTCCCCCTCCCACCTTCAAGGCACCTGGCACAGTACTGGGCACATGGTGCTCAATAAATGCACTCATTCAATGAATACTCTATGCTTTTATTATGAATTATTTCAGCGATTTGAAAATTCAATGATAATATTATGATTACTCATGCACACACCATTCAGCCTAAGAACACATCCCATAGTTATACTTCTCTGGGTAACCCTCTCTGATCATGTCCCTCTCCCTGCCCTACTCCCATCAGAGCCCTGAATGTGCCTCTTTTAATTCTCACACATTTCCTTGTACTTTTACCACATCCATGAGTAGCTATAGAAATATATAGCATGGTACTGTGTATTTTTAATAGTGTGTTGAACATATTTGTCTTAGTCTATTCCTGCTGCTATAGCAAAATACCTTAGACTGGGTGATTTATAAATAATAGAAATGTATTCCTCACAGTTCTGAAGGCTGTGAAGTCCAAGATCAAGGCACCAGCAGATTCCGTGTCTAGTAAGTGCTCGTCCTCTCTTTCCAAGATGGCGCCTTCTCACTGTGTCCTCAGATGGCAGAAGGGCAAATGGGTGAAAAGTGCTCACAAACACCCTCAAGCCTATTTTAAAAGGTACTAATCCCATTTGTGAGGGCAGAGCCTTCATCAGCCTGATTACCTAAAGGCCTCACCTTTTCATACGATTGTCTCTGGGACTAAGTTTCAATATGAATTTTAGAGTGATACAACATTCAAACCATAGCATTCTGCCCCTGGCCTCCCCAAATTTCTGTCCTTCTCACATCCAAAATACGCTCATTTAATCCCAATAACCCCAAAGTCTTAATTCATTCCAGCATTAACTTTAAGGTCTAAGTCCAAAGTCTCATCTAAATGTCATTTAAATCAGATATGAGTGAGACTGAAGGGATGATTCCTCCTGAAGGAAATTTCTCTCTAGCTGTGAACTTATGAGATCACAGAAGTTATGTGCTTCCAAAATGAAATGGTGGGGCAGGCATTTTCATTTCATAGGACAGACATTCTCATTTCAAAAGGGAGCAATAGGGCCAGGTGTGGTATAACTCAGCGATGACCTGAGTTCTATTTGGACCCACTTGAGCCACAGCTAGGATGGCCAAGGAGCACTGCACCCAAGTGTAGGGAGCAGAGACAGGAGATGGCCCTGGGCAGTGACTCCCAGTGTCTCACACTGTCCTGGGCCCCTCCCCCCAAACTCTTCTGCTCCCAAGGCCCTGACATCTGGACCTAAGATCTCTGAAATGCATTCAGGGTCATTTTTCCATTTTCTGGATGAATAGCACCTGACTTTCTTCTATCCATGCTAATCTTATCAAACATTCACTTGGCCATACCCTTGGTATGGTCTTCTGAACATGCTTTTGCATTCTTTACAATATGGCCAGACTGAGAATTTTCCAAATCTTTAGGCTCTGCTTCTCTTTTGATTATAAATTCATCTTTCATTTCTCTCTTCTCATATTCTGCTATAAGCAGTCAAGAGAAGCCATGCAGTACCCTCAACACTTTGCTTAGAGATTTCTTCTACCAAATATCCTAATTTCATTGCTCATGAATACTTGCTCCCACAAAACACTTGGACATAGACACAATTCAGCCAAGTTCTTTGCCACTTTATAACAAAGATGGCCTTTCCTCCAGCTTCCAATGCCATGCTCCTCATTTTTCTCTCAGACCTCATCAGAATGGCCTTTACTATTCCTATTTCTACCATTATTATGTTTACAGCCTCTTAGATAATCTCTACAAAGATTGAAACTTTCTATGTAGCTCTCATAATCTTCTGAGCCCTCACCAGAATCATCCTGTATGGCCCATTTGTGGCAATGTAGGCTTTTTCTAGCCTGCTTCTCCAAATTCTTCCAGCTTCTGCCCACCATCAAGTTCCTAAGCTACTTCTATGTTTAGGTATTTATTACATGGCACCCCACTCTCAATACCAATTTCTGTCTTAGTCTGTGCCTGCTGTTGTAACAAAATACCTTAGACTGGGTAATTTTTGAGTAATAGAAATTTATTTCTCGCAATTTAGAGGGTGGGAAGTCCAAGATCAAGGCACCAGCAGGTGTGATGTCTAGTAAGGGCTTGCTCTCTGCTTCTAAGATGGTGTCTTCTCACTGTATCCTCACGTGGTGGGGAAGCGGTGAACACTATGCCCTCGCATCACAGAAGGCAAAAGGCCAAAAAGGCTCACAAACTCATGAAGGCCTCTTTTATAAGAGCACGAATCCCATTCTTGAGATCGGAGCCCTCATGATATAATCATCTTCTGAAGGCTTCACCTCTTAATACTATCATTGCATTGGGGATTAAGTTTTAACATGAATTTTAGACAAACACAACATTCAAATTGTAGATATATATATATATATATATATATATATATATATATATATATATAGAGAGAGAGAGAGAGAGAGAGAGAGATGGAGTTTTGCTCTTGTTACCAGGCTGGAGTGCAATGGCGTGATCTCAGCTCACTGCAACCTCCGGCTCCTGGGTTCAAGCAATTCTTCTGCCTCAGCCTCCTGAGTAGCTGGGACTATAGGCGCGCGCCACCACGTCCAGCTAATTTTTGTATTTTTAGTAGAGACAGAGTTTCACCATGTTGGCCAGGATGGTCTCGATCTCTTGACCTCATGATCCACCTGCCTCGGCCTCCCAAAGTGCGGGGATTATAGGCGTGAGCCACCACGCCTGGCCCGTAGACATATTTTTCTGTAATTTTTTGGTCCAACGTTATGTTTGTGTGAGTTTATTCACACTGACACAAGTAGTCCTGTTTTGTGGATTTTTAACTGCCAGTCCATATTCCATTACATAATACAGCACAGTTTATCTGTTATCCTCTTAATGGACATGTGAGTTGTTTTCTTTTTTTGTCTTTCTGAATTGCAAATGTTGGTGCAATGAACATTCTTACTTGTGCATTTCTCTGGGACACATCACCAGGAGTAGAATTGCCAGATCTGACTACCACCTGCTTTTGCAATTTTTCTAGGTGTAAAGTTGTACTTCACAGTGGTCGCACCAGTTTCCCTTCTAACAAGTAATAAAAGACAGCTGCCTTTGGGTAGCCTTATCACCAGTATTTAGTGTTTTCAGACTTAACTGCTGCTAACCTGAAGTATGTGAAATTGCCTCATGATTTTAATTTGCATATTCAAGATTCTTAGAGAGAGCAAGCATTTTTCATGATTTCTTCTGTGAATTGCTTTTTTATATCCTTTGCTTACTGTTTCATTGGTTTATTTGAATTTTTCTTTTCTATTTTATATGTTCATTACACATTCTGGATACTAATCCAGGATTTACCCTCTCTTTAGCCTGTGGCTTAGTTTTTTCACTCATTTTATGATGCTTTTATGCACTTATGCACAGAAGTTCTTCATTTTAATGGAATAAAGTTTATCAATTTGGTATTGATAAATACAGTTTATCAATAAAGATTTACCAGTTGATAACAATGAGTTTTATTAATTGATTTAAAATTATCCATTTTTTCCAAAGAACAAATTATGGACAATCTTATTAAGAAATCTTTCTGGCCCAGCATGGTGGCTCATGCCTGTAATCCCAGCACTTTGGGAGGCCGAGGCCGGCGGATCATGAGGTCAAGAGATCGAGACCATCCTGGCCAACATGGTGAAACCTCGTCTCTACTAAAAATACAAAAAAATAGCTGGGCATGGTGGCACGCGCCTGTGGTCCCAGCTACTCAGGAGGCTGAGGCAGAAGAATTGCTTGAATCCAGGAGGCAGAGGTTGCAGTGAGCCGAGATTGTGCCACTGCACGCCAGCCTGGCGACAGAGCAAGACTCCGTCTCAAAAAAAAAGAAATCTTTCCTTATCTTAGTGTCATAAAGATAGTCATCTATATTTTCTGTAAGCTTCAGAGTTTTGTTCTCCCTTATGGTTCTTTGATCTGCTTGGAATTCATATTTGTGTATGATACAAATAACGGATTTCATTTTATTTTTCTATATATGGAATTAGCTGCCTGAGTACCATTTGTTGATAGCCTTTCCTTCCCCCTTTGATTTGCAATGACTGCCCTTCCATGTAGCAAGACTCCATATCTGCATGGGTTGGTTTCGGTCACCTGCAGTTTTTTCCTGTTAAGCTGTTTATCTTTCCTCATCCCAATACCATGGTGCCTTAACTAATGTAGATTTACTAGAAATCATATAGCAAAAGCCTCTCCTCCGTGATTCTTTAGAAGTATCTGGAGTATTCTTAGTCCCAGATCTTCTTTATAAGTTTTTTTTTCTTTTTGAGACATAGTCTCGCACTGTCACCCAGGCTGGAGTGCAATGGCACAATCTTGGCTCACTGCAACCTCTGTCTCCCAGGTTCAAACGATTCTCCTGCCTCAGCCTCCAGAGTAGCTGGGATTACAGGTGCCCGCCACCATGCCCAGCTAATATTTTTATTTTTAGTAGAGATGGGGTTTCACCATGTTGGCCAGGCTGGTCTCGAACTCCTGACCTCGTGATCCACCCACCTTGGCCTCCCAAAGTGCTGGGATTACAGGTGTGAGTCACCATGCCTGGCCCTTCTTTATAAGTTTTTAAAGATCTACTTTAAAAATAACTTAGAAAAAAAGAAAAAAAAACTTAGAATTTTTATTAATATGGAGAGACTAGACTCCTTCAAGATAGTGAGTCTTTCTATCTGTGAATGTGATGTATCTATCTCCCACTAATTTAAGTCTTCTCTAATAATTTTAAGTAAGTTTCATAAAATTCTCCATTGAGCTGTTACCCATCTTCTGTTAGATTCATTTCTAGGTAGTTTATTTAAAATATTGCAAATGAATTATTTTTAAACATTTACTATTAACTTTTTCATTGCTGGTATATATAAACATACTTATTAGCAACGTTGCTGAGCTGTCTTAGTTCTAATAATTTGTCTGTAGATTCTGTAGATTCTCTTGGATTTTCTATGAAGATAATCTATCATCTACAAATAATAACCATTTTGTTTATATCCAATTCTTGTACATTTTTCCCTTGCCTTATTATAGTGGGCAGCATCTGCAGTTACAATGTTGACTAGAAGCAATGATAGCAGATATCCTTATTTTGTTCCTGCTTTCACAGGAAATGCTCCCAGAGTTTCTCAGTTGAGATTGATGTTTGCTCCCAGTAAGGTAGATAGCATTTATTAGGTTAAGAAATCCCCTTGTACTTTCAATTTGTGACACAGTTTCACATGAAAGGATATTAAAACTCTATCCAGTGGTTTCTGAATTCCCTCCAAGTGCCTAGTCCTGGTCTGCATCTGTGAGTCATTTAAGATGTGGGCCCTGTTATGAAGAAGCAAAGTCTCCATTGGGGAAACTGATCTCAGACATAAATCTCTTCAGTTATGCATGACGTTGTGTAAAAGAAGATGCTGCAGAGAGAAGGATAGAATGTGGATGGGAGGAGGGAGCAGTGACTGCACAGCAGAAGCCTTGATGGAGAGGCAGGATTTGAGTTGGATGGAAGGATTTTCACAATGATGAGGATGAAGGGCACTCACAGAAGAAGACACAGGCACAGTCTCAGGGCCAGAAATGCCTGATGTGTGTGTTAGCTTGAGAGCCTGGGTCTGTAGAGCAGAACCGTTGGCTGCCTTGCCAGGGAAGGGCCCTGCTTTCTCCCTCAGACACCTGCACTGCACCCGGAACTACATCCACCTGAACCTGTTTGCATCCTTCATCCTGCGAGCACTGTCCGTCTTCATCAAGGACGCAACCCTCAAGTGGATGTATAGCACGGCTGCCCGGCAGCACCAGTGGGATGAGCTCCTCTCCTACCAGGTGTGTAGTGCATCTGGGACTGCCATGGGAGGGGTGGGCGGTCAGAGGAGGCCTGCCTCTGCCACCCTAGCCAGGCCTGGCACAGGGGAAGGCAAGAGCTGCCCAGTGCTGGCCCTTTGGGAGCCCCCAGTCTGATGGGAGAGGCAGTTCACCTTGGGACCCTCCAGTCTGAGGGAGGAAACACTGCCTTCGGGACTTCTCAGTCTGATACAAAAGAGTAGTCTTTGGAGACACACTTGGGTTTGAATCCCAGCTCTGTCACTTACTATCTGTATACTTTTAGGGAAGTCACTTACTTCTCTAAGGCTGAGTTTTCTCACCTGCAGGGGGATATTACTTTCTTCCAATCACGATAGTGAGGATTCAGTGAGCTAAAGCATATAAAGCCCTTAGCACTAGCCCTAGCCAGACACCTGAGCTCTCTCCTCCTGCCTTCACCGTGGCAGGATGGTGGCTGGAACACGATGGGGAGTGGTATCAAGAGAGGCAGAGGGCAGAGCCGTTGTCCCCATGGCACCCTTCTTCTGCCCCCAGGACTCTCTGGGCTGCCGCCTGGTGTTTCTACTCATGCAGTACTGTGTGGCGGCCAATTACTACTGGCTCTTGGTGGAGGGCGTGTACCTGTACACACTGCTGGCCTTCTCAGTCTTCTCCGAGCAACGAATCTTCAGGCTCTATGTGAGCATAGGCTGGGGTAAGACCCACCATCACCCCCTTGGACCTGTGGCGTGGGTGTGGGAGACCTTGACCCCTCTTCCAGCATGGTACTTGGAACGCACTGCTGGACAAGGGGCAGAGCACACTGGGTAATCCTCTTCCTGGGCACAGGGCCTTCTGCCCCTGTGCTGTTAAGACTCTGTAGGGCTTATGGTCCTCCCCTCCTTTGTATAACTCACCTCCCTTAATGGAAGCCGCCACCCCCATGTGGCCAAATACCACCCTCTACCACTATCACGTCCACCACTGGAGGTCATGGCACTGTCCACATGGGGTCATGTGGCCTTAAGAGCCCAAGGGAAATGCTGAGTCCTGGGCCTCAAAGTGCGGAGGGGATCAAGAGGGCAGGGGGGTTTCTGGGGAGGGACGCTGAGGGTGCTCTGTCACATGATGATAAAGAGGAGGGCTCAGAGGAGAGCCAAGTAGGACGGGGCAGGGGACCAGAGGCCAGCCAAGGAAAGGGTGGACTACGGATGTGCCTGGGGCCCAGCTGGAAATGTTCTAGCCAAAAAAGTTTGCCAAGAACCACTGTGTCTTTTTTTTTGCTGGAACATTTCTGGTTGTGCCTCTGCCTCTCACCACGCAGGATTCTAATGAGGGGCAGGGCTGGGGTTGGGCAGGGGGCTGGGATTCCCCTTCGCGCCCCTGAGAAAACATGCAACAGGCCTTTCTGAAGGGGCCCACGGAGCCCCGAAAATAGGCCCTGCCCTCTGGCCCTCCCTAATCTGCCACTGAATCTGTGGGTTTTCCTGTTCCACATAATCCCCCACCCTGCTTGCCACTCCTTCATTCACTCTTCCTTCCTTCATGCGCCCACCTCACGCTGCTCTGACCATGGCTGCCCCTGCGACCCAACTCCAGGGACTTCCCAGCTCAGTCACACCCAGACTTCTCCCCCAGTTGCCCCTCTTCCCTGACACTGGCCCTTCCCCTGAGCTTTTGCAAGGCTGTTCTCCATGCAGGAATGTTCAGAGAGCATCCTTCTCACACCAGGGTGTCAGCTGCCTCTTCAGGAAGCTGCCTCAGGCCATCGGCCCTGGTGGTTCTGTGCTCTCTGCCCTCTCAACCTCTCCATCCCCTCTCCTTGCACTTCATTTATTTTTACTGGTGTTCCTCAGCAACTTTGCTCTGTATAACTCCCCGGAGAAGAGTAGCCTGAGAGATTTTAAAGTGACCAGTGTCTTGAGGGCACCAAGGCCCAGAGCAGGCAGGGCCTTAAAGGCAAAGCAGGCCCTGTAGCCGAGGCCTCCCGACTCCCAGGCTCTGGGCCCGTGGCCATCATGCCCAGTTCTCTGGCCCCGGCTGCAACGTTTCAGTCCCTTGTTGCACCCCTGAGCGGGCTCAGGCCTCTGCACAGGTGGGCAGGTAGGCCTGCTCCTCGCCTTCCTTCTCCTCCCCTGGGACCCAATCCCTTCCTTGGCCTTTTCTCCTCAAGGCTTCTTCCTCCTGCTGGAGCTGATGGAGAGCCCTGCAGCTCACTAGGGGTAGGGGAGGAGGGAGACCAACGAGGGAGCTCAGGGAGGGCTGTCTTCAGGGTGGGGCACAGCATCTGTCCATTCTAGGAATTAGCATCAGCACTGTTAGTGCCTGTCACCATGGCGACCTGAGGGCAGGAACAATCAAGGGACGTGTGTGATGTGTGTGGAGGAGCGGGGCTAGCTGGCTGGAGTTTGGTGGGGACACACAGCCCTGGAGGTCTCGGAGTGGGAGGTCGGGGAGGGAGTACCAGCCCTTTTCCTACCACCTCACACCCTAGCTCAGGGTTCGGAGTCTGTGAGAGCACAAGGGCAAGACCTGGAGGACACCCTGCTGCAATCAGAACACCTCTTCCTGAGGAATCGGGATGGGGAGAGACAGGTTCACAGGTGGCTAGGAGCTCAGACATGATGCCAGGAGGCCCTGCCCAAGCTGGGATCCTTGGGAAACAACTTTTAGCTTTGTGTGCAAGTAGAAGAATTAAAACTGGGACTCTGGCACAGTTGGAGAGGTCCCCCAAAGGGCATGGCAGCTTCTCCTGCAGTCCCCAGGCAGTCAGGGGCCTGTAGAAACCCACAAGGAGGCTGTGCAGGAGGGAGGCGAGTGATGGATGAGGAAATCATTACTTCCCGGAGCCGGTTCTGTATGTCTTGCTTTGAGCTTTTATCTCCAACCTGTCTTGCTCGTTTTCTAAATGGGAGAAAGATGAAGCCAGCAGGGAGTGTTTAATGCTTGCATGTGGCAGGGCTTTGTGCCTGTTTTTTGAAAAGGCCTTGTTAAGGAAATGCTGACTATGAGTGAAGCTTGCCAGGTCTGGCTGATAACATGGGTGAGTGCCCTGATCCTTCCTCATCCCAGGAGGTCTCAGAGAGAAGGGGCGGCAGGGGGTGGGGATGCCTGAGAAGGAAGCTTCTGTATGTATATGTGGTTCAGGCAATAGGCATGCTCTTGCTTAGAGAAGTTTCCTCCCCTCATTGATTTATTGACTCACCCATTCATTCATTCCATTCTTACTGGGCATCTTCTATGTGGCAGGGCCTGTGCCATGTGCTGGGGCCTTTGGAGATCACCCCACTCCTTGTCCAGTTCCATAAAGGCCTGTTATTAAAGCACCATGGATGCTGAGAGGTCTAATTTGTGTAAAAATAAACGGGCTGAGAGAGAGAGAGAGAGAGAGAGAGCGCTGATGAAGAATGCTGGTCAGCTGGGGGCTCCTTTGCTTTCTCTATCCTTCCCTGCATCATCAAGCATGGTAGATCCAGGCACACAACCTGCTTAGTAGCTGCTATTGAGTGGACACTGATGTGCTAAAGATATAGATGATGGTGACAGGAAGGGCTGTGAAGTGGTTCTGTGCTGGAAATGTGCTCCTGGCCGAGATTCCCCAAAGCCACATGTGCACATGCATATTCCAGCCACCACACTCTCACACACACGTCTACATACCTTAATATGCACACACTTACCTATCTCAGACACATCTCCAACACTGAGGGAGGCGCCCGTGGAGACAGGCATGGAGGCAGCCAGTGCAGAAAGCCATTGAGGACGGTGGGAGTGGGCATGGACTGCAGCCCTGAACTCCAGCCCCACCTGTGCTCTTCTGAACCCCTGATCCATCTCCTCATGTCATGTGAGGAAGGACGCTCCAATTTTAAATGAACCAACACAGATCGAGCTCTCAGGGTGACCTGGGCATTAAGGCTCTGAAGGTGAGTGAGGCCCAGCCTCTACACTCAAGAAGCTGGGAACCAGTTGTATTAATTCTCTATTGCTGCATAACAATTAACCCTGAAACTCAGCTACTTAAAACAATGAACCATTGTTATCTCACAGTTCCTGTGATCTGGAATCTCTGTCCAACTTAGCTGGGTACCTTGTGGCTCAGGATCTCACAGAGAAAACCCTTTAGGCAAGACCATGCCAATTTCCTGAACCACCTCCACATACGGAAGCTTCCTTCTCGGGCATCCCTGCCCCCTGCTGTCCCTTCTCTCTGAGACCTCCTTCCAGGATCAGGGCACTCACAGAGAAGTAGCCAGCTGTCACCAGGGGTGCCATCATCTCAAGGCTTAACTGGGGATGGAGAATCTACATCCAAGCTCACTCGCAAGGCTGTTGGCAGGAAGCCCCAGTTCCTTGCTGGCTAGAGGCTGGAGACCTCCATTTCTTGCTGCAAAGGCCTCTATCCAGGCCTTCTGAGTGCCCTCAGGACATGGCAACTGGTTTCCCCTGGAGCAAGTGATCAGAGAAAGAGAGATAGAGTATGTGCAAAACAAGCCAGAATATCTTTTATAACAATCAGAAGTGGCATGCCATCACTTCTGCCAGATGTTGTGGGTCACACAAAACAATGCTGACACAATGTGGACTACACAAAGGTATGAGCACGGGAGGTGGGATCCCCATGGCCATCTTAGAGGCTGTCTACCATACAAGTCAAGTCTCAGCTGAGTGGAAAGTAGTATTTTGTAGCTCTTGTTATTGTAGACCACTGCGGACAGTTAGTTGGTCTGTTGGCATCAAGGACTGGTCTCCTGTCTCCATTCCAGGATTCTGCCGAGGCCATAACACCCCTCAAGAGTGGTATGAGATACCTGCACCCACGTGGGCTCGTGTGTGGGTATTTACACACATGTGCAGACACACAGGTGCACAGGGGTAGGGAATAGGCAACGGAAAGGACATCCAGTGCCTGAAGGGGCTGACAGATGGGCAATGTGGGCTGAAGCAAGAGAGAAAAAGAACAGCTGCTCCTCACCTCATCCACCATGCTGCCCCCACAGCATGGCCTGGTCCTGCTACTGCTTGGGTGTCTGTGGCCTGGTATCTCAGCCGGGACCCTCAGGGCAAGTCCTGACAGTGTGCCTGGCATGTAGGAGGTGAGGGACTGGTGAGGACCTCTCTGTAAGGAAGAGTCTGGGAGTCGCATGGGGCTCCTGCTGCCTCTGTTCTCCCAGGTGCCCAGAGAAAAACTAGAAAACCTAGTTTGAGGCCAGGCAAGGAGCGGGGCTGGAAGTGTGAGAGGCCTGGGGCAGGGAGAGGTGTCAGCGTGTGGACTGTGGCTCTGGTCCGCCAGCCCCTCTCCCCTTCTGTCTTTTTCTCTCTCCTAGGTGTCCCCCTACTGTTCGTTGTCCCCTGGGGCATTGTCAAGTACCTGTATGAGGACGAGGGGTGAGTGTCCTGCTGCAAGGGGGCAGGTGTGCCCAGGTCTCCATTCTCAAGGTCCATGGGATTCCTTGGTACCTGGGGCACCCATCTGTCAGGAGGACAAAGGCGGGGACCAGTTTAGAATGTGAATTTAGTTCTCTCATCTCCCCTCCCTGCCTCTGCCCCTGCCCCAGGATTGTTTGATGACTAATGGTACTGGGTGTATGGGGATATGGTGCTCTCCTGCAGGTTTTTCTGTAATATCTGCAAGTGACATGTTTGTGTCATTTTGTATATGATGCTGGGTACACACATGACTGTGTTGGTAGGTCCATGAGAGGCTGTGGCTGTGGGTATCTCCGTGTATGATGGTGTATTTGGACTGTGTGTGTGTGTTGTGTGGCTGTGCACTGGCAGGGCTCTGTGTGGGTCAGTGGGGCTGCTTGTTGAGTGGCTCCTGGGATCTGTGTGTGTGGTACTCCACATGGCCATGAGCGTCGGCAGCCCCTGTGCCTACACCCGAGCTGGGGGTCCTGTGAGTCCTGCTGAAGGCACATGTGCATCTCTCTCCCTCCCTAGCTGCTGGACCAGGAACTCCAACATGAACTACTGGCTCATTATCCGGCTGCCCATTCTCTTTGCTATTGGGGTGAGTGATGGTGTCAGGGATGGGGGTGGCAGCTATGATAGGCCTGGGTTCGTGCCCCTGCCAATCCCCGGCTACCCTGCAGGTGAACTTCCTCATCTTTGTTCGGGTCATCTGCATCGTGGTAGCCAAACTGAAAGCCAATCTCATGTGCAAGACAGACATCAAATGCAGGTGATGTAGCTGGGTTGGCTTTACTGAGGACCCTCAGCAAGTGTCCCTTTCCTTCCAGCAGAGAGAGAGAGAGATCCTGGGATGCTTAGCTTAGAGCCCTACACTACCCTCTTCTTCCACCCAGGCCTGGCCTGGGACCCTAAACCCTTGCTTTTGCCCTGTCTCTGGGCAGCCCCTGGGCTTCTTGGGGTCTTGACATCTATTGTTTCCTTCCAGGCAGCCTGTCCCAGGGTATTTGGGGTGGGAGAACATCCATGACCCAGATGTCAGGACTTGGTAGGAAGCGGGGAGGGTAGAGAAAGGGGAGAAGAGTCCTTAGGAGATCTCGGCAGAGAATGACTCCAGAGGTCTCCACCCTGCCCCTCAGACTTGCCAAGTCCACGCTGACACTCATCCCCCTGCTGGGGACTCATGAGGTCATCTTTGCCTTTGTGATGGACGAGCATGCCCGGGGGACCCTGCGCTTCATCAAGCTGTTCACTGAGCTCTCCTTCACCTCCTTCCAGGTAACTTCATGGCTGGGGGCACTTGCTTGTGAAGTCCTAGAATGGGGGTGGGACAGACACCAGCCTGCATCATGCAGATGAAAAAGAGTAGGCTGAGAGCTGGGGGAGTGATCCCTGACCAAAGTACCTAGTTAGAGCAGAGCCAGAACTAGTGTCCCCAGGTGTCCCAATACAGAGTCTTCTCTGTAAGCACATGGGACAAGAAGCCTTCCTGGATGTAGCTCTGGATACCCAGCCTGGCATTGCAGCTGCCATCTACTGGGTGGCGAGCACCCTGCCAAGTGCTTTACATGCGTTGTGCATTCACTCCTCACAGAACCCAGGAGATGCGCAGGGTTGCCCCCGTTTTACAGAGGAGCCTCAGAGGCGTTAAAACCAGAGTTATGGCATCACACTTTCAAAGAGAAGAACTGATCCTCTCCATGAGCATTAAAGGATGCTAAGCGGGTGTAAAAATACAAAAAACTAGTCCCTGCCCCTCAAGAGTGTTACGAGATGCCTGTACACATGTGGGCTTGTGTGTGTTACAGACATGTGCAGACACACAGAACACAACTCTGGAGCCCTGGGTGTCCTGTGTGAACAGACGGGGTGGGTGTGGGGAATATTCTCCACAATCAGTCACTGTACTTCGCTGGGTCAGGCCTCCTCAAGGGTACATTGGCTGTAGAATCTTGCAGCTTCTGGGCAGCTTCTGAGCAGGGTCTCCTGGACCCGATGGCACATGCCTGGGAGACCCATAGGGACAGGCTAGCTGGGGCCTGTAGCCAGGCTTAGTCAGAGAGGGGCAACTCTGCTGTTCCTCCAGAAAGGAAATGGGAGGGAAGCCCCTGCCCTATTCCTGGATCTCCCTGGGCCGCTGGATTTGAGGAGGGGGATATTGAGGATGGAGTCCCAAAGTGCTTCTGACCAGGGCTAGTCTGCAGGGGACCTCTCTCCTGTTTCCTGCCTCTTGATGTGATTCTGATTTCCAGGGGCTGATGGTGGCCATCTTATACTGCTTTATCAACAATGAGGTAAGCTCTGAGGAGAGACAGTGGGGACCCTGGTGGGTGGGTACCATCAGCCAGTCTGGACTTGTGCAATGGGGACTCCTATCAATCTTGTCAGCTGAAACCTCCTACTCACCCCACTGAGGCCCTCGGGTTGAGGAGGCATCTTGTCCACAGATTTGGTTTTCTGTGCGTGGGTCTCTCACACATGAACACACACACACACACACACACACACACACACACACACACAAACACACACACACACGTACATGTACAGACATACCCTATGGTATGAGCTTGGGGAAGACCCAGCCTCATGTTAAGGGGGTCCTGAATGACCCCCTTTGCTTGCTGGTGGTGACTGTCACTTACAAAGTGATTCAACACACGCATACCCAAACCACATGCTTGGAGCTTTAATAATCATGATTTCATTTAATTATGACCCCAACATCCCTCAAAAAAACCCTGCTGAAATTCTTATTTCATCTTCCCATTTTGATACATGAGAACACTGAAGATTAGAGGGCATCAGAAACCTGCCCTGGGTTGGAAATAGTGGCACACATCGCTTCTCAGACTTTTGGCTAAGATGTAGTGTGGAAATAGTGGCATGGCAGAGCCAGGACTCAAATTAATTCTGCCTTAAGGAAGGAAGCACCTCATTCTTCATACACACAGGCAAGAGCCCTGGCTCACTGTGGGGAAGGGGGTGGCTTTCTGGTGCTAGGGTGGGAGAAGGGGGTTCTTGCTGGCCCAACACCCTCTCCTGCAGATGCCTGTAGGACTGCAGGCCTCCCTCCCATCTCTGAGATGGTCAGCTCCTGGGAGGAGGGCGTGCCTGTGTTTGTGGACAGCTGGGAAAGGCTCCTTCCTCCAAGGTACTCATCTTTGGGCTGGGTATCATAAATGCCACAGCAGCCCCTTCCTCCAAATTCCTTCCAGAGGGGAAAACAAATAATAATGGCAGGGGCAGCACCGGGGCCCTTGGGGAAGTGTCCACAACAGGATTAACCGCCAGCAGGGAGGAGTCCACCCCACAGCCTGGGAGGACACTGAGGACTGTCACTCCGTTCAGGCCCAGGTGAGGGTTTGCACTAGGGGGGCTGGGGCACAGGTGACCCAGGGACACTGATCCTCAAAGACCTGGGGCTCTTTGTGTGACTTATGTGTCACTAAGCCTGGAATCCCAGAGCTCAGGGATCTTGGAGTCAGCACATTAACAAAGACTTATCTTTTTCTGTGGGTGTGGGGAATGCAGAGGGGGCAGTGGGTGGGGACCTGGGTATTTCAGGGAGCTATGAGATGGCTCAAAGAAGCGATGTGACGTAGCAGAAAAGATGCAACCATGCGGTTTTTGGCGTCTTATTTGGTCTGATCTAGGCCCCACCACTTAATGAGCTGTGTGACTTTACATGCCCACTCTAAATCTTAGTTTGCTCATCTACAAAGTGGGGGTGATAATGCCTATCTTTGAGATTCTTGTGAGGATTAAGAAAGTCTGAAAAAGGTGGGAAAGGAGAACCGAGAACAGATCCCTCCTTCAAGGTGGGATGCTGAAGGCCCATCCTAGCTCCTCACAGCTGCTGCTTGGCATGAAGAAACACACACCACCACCTCCAGATGCTCAGTAAGCAATCACTATTAGATATCAATATTGTGATTCCCAGAGACAGGGGCCTAGGGAATCTCAGAGGATGCTGTGCAGAGAAAATGAGGCTGGGTGAAAGGGAAGGGAGAGGGATGTTCCCCTGTCCCTGAGGCTTCCTCCTGCCTCTGCTGAACTGGCTTCCTGTGGGAGGCGTGGCCCTCAGATCTCTAAAAGGGAGGGAAACCAAGGTTTCTTAATCGCTTACTGCATATTAGACACTCAAAGTGTCTAATTACATCCAATGCTGTGAATGGTATCCCCAATTCACAGCTAAGAACATCAAGGCTCAGCAAAGTGAAATGAGTAGCCCTAATTCAGTAGCTAGAAGGCGGTAGATGTAGTGGGCTGTGGTGGGGGCAAGATCCCACTTAATATCTGAGGGTAGCCAGTGCTGGGGAGGTGAAGGCAGGACCAGGCAATGGGATTCTGGCTGCTCCCAGGGCAGATCTCAGAAGACCCAGTGGGCTCAGTTTGGAGGTTAGGGCAGGGAAGGAGAGAAGGGCCTCACCCAGTAGGCCCTTGACCCACAGGAGGCAGGAAGACACAGCAGCCCTGGTTCTCCTCCACGGCCAGATCCTCACATTGAATTTCTTTAAAACTGACACAAACGAGGAAGTGCAAAAACCTAAGCTCTGTGGGTGGCCTTCCTTCCAGGAATGTTCTCAGCCAGCTGGATGATGTGCTACCCAGCCCTGAGCTCTGCTGCTTCCCATTCCAGCCCAGTCGTGATGGGGACAGGACAGGGTGGCATGTATCCCTGTGCAGGGATGAGGAGCAGAGGCCCGTGGGGAAAGACAGGCTCCCTGCTGCCACCTTGTCACCTCAGCCCCCCACTTCCCCATTCCCCCTCCTCTGTCCTTTGATACCCTCACCGCAGCCCTACTGGCAGACACATTGTGCTTGGCTTTCCTGCCACCATTACAAAGAGCTTCCCCTGACCCCTGGCTCAGCCGCCTCTCCAGATTCCATCCTCCCCAGCCCAGTCGTCTCATCACCTCCCTCCTCATGCACCACCCATGGCTGGCCCACCTTTGTAAGGGGATAGACACATGTTTGTAAGGAAATAGTTCTTTGCAAAGAACTTGACCCTGAATCACCAGAGTTGTATCTCTCTGACCAGGCCTGGCTGTAGGTTCCAGCTAGCATCTCCCCATGGATCTTCCAGGCTTGTGCCATGGGGTCCCAGAGACCCTGCTCCAAGAACAGAGTACCACCCAGTTCCTTTAACCCCACTTCAAGACTCCTCATGCCCTGGCTGCTCCAGGCACAAGCTCAGATACATCATTGTCACCGGGCCACAAAATATGCAAGTGGCTCTGGGGCTGAGGCCTCTGTCCACAAGAGCTGTTCTGCAGACCCAGGGTTGCCATGGCAATGCCAGGTACTTGTGACCTGAGGAGAAAAGATGGCTTGAATATTGGTTCTGTGTGCCTGCCAAGGCCTGCACCAGCTGCTGGCGGGCAGGAGTGGGGACAGGGAGAGGAGGCCTGAAGGTGGTTTTGCTGTGGCTTGTGCCTGAGAGCCACAGTGAGGTGACTCAGAGCCCTGAGTGCTGGTCCCAGCCCTGCCACCGCGGAGCTGTGTGACCTGGGGCAAGTCATTTTGCCTCCCTTGCCTATGTCTCCCCAGGTGTAAATGAAGGTGAATGAGCTTCCCAGTTCACCCCAAATCCTGAGCCTGGCATGATGCTGGCTGGAGAGGGTGGCCAGGAGGATTGTGCTGCACTGCAGAGGTTGAGGGCAGCGATGAGGATACAATCCAGTGGTGGAGGAGGAAGTGTGCTGGCCTAAGTGCCAGGCCAGGTGCTCAGGATTTTTAAAGACAAAAGTGGCATTTCTCCCTGGCCTGCGCCTCTAGATTTCAGCGGTGGAAATGGTGATTGTGTTGGACAAACCGGGAAACTCTGTCTACCACAGGTGCAATGGACACTGTTGACTTGTGTCCACCACTCCATCAGCAGAGTTCTCTGAGGAACAAGGACCCTCCAGGGTGATGCTTTCCCCTGGTGTGGTCTTGGTTGGTTCATTTTCATAGCTGTGGAACAGAAGGAACCCCATGTGAGATGCTCATTTATTTACATTCTCATTCATTTGGCTCATTTAAAACACATGTATGAAGTACCTGCTCTATGCCAGGCACTGTGCTAGGTTCAGGGACACTGAGATGAGGAAGATGTGGCCCTAGCCCCTGAGGTGCTCCCAGCTGAGTGGGGAAGAGATGCACAAGGGACAAGCAGAACCTCAAGAGCCACACGGGCAGGAGGCCAGGGGTTAGGAGCTGGGCCTTGGAATCAGGCCAGATCTAGGTTCAAATCCTGGCTGAGCGACCTGGGGAAATACTTAAACTCTCTGTGCCTCAGTTTCCTCATCTTTAAATGTGGAGCTACTTTGCAGGGTCGATGTGAAAGTTAACTAAGATCATCAATGGAAAATGCTGGGCATGCAGTAAGTGCCCAATAAATGGTGGTTTTCAAGGACAATTGTGATTACAGGGGTCACAGCAGAGGTTCAGGAAAAGTTCTGAGGGAAATGGAGGCAGAAGGAGACACCGTGTGTCAATGATCCGAGAATTCCTGCAGGTGTCCCTGAAACCTCTTTGGTCTCTGAGGTGGTTTCCTCGGGGGTTTGCCTCAGTTTACCCTGTCCCCCCCCCCCAGTGGAAGGGCTATGAAACAAGACTGGCTTCCCTGCAGCTGCACAAATGGGGGCCACCACTGGACTCAGGGCCCCCACTCCAGCTGTCAGCATGTGTTCTCTTCACAAAGGCTCGGCTGGGCAGGGAGCTGGCAACAACAGGGTGGCCGTAGGTGGTGTCTGCTCAACCTCCTTCCCTCCCCCACCCAAGCTTGGGCTCCTGACGCTGCATGGGATACTGCCGTCATTCTGGCAGGCAGCCTCTGATCCATCTCAGCTCTACTCAGTGCAGAAAAAGTTCTTTTAAGGGATGGCATGCAGCCATACCAGGCGTCCTGCTGGGCATAGCTGGATGGGTGACAAAGGAGGAGGAGAGGAGGGTTGTTTGCACAGGGGCTGGTGGGGGGGATTAGCCCCTTATCCACAGCTGCTGGCAGCTGGCCCTCTTGGTGATTTGGCCTAAGGGGAAGGGCCCAGACCCCAGACACTCTGGTGTGGGAATGGCAGGGACTTCAAAGAAGCTCTGGAAAGCAAATTTATGGGAACATCACCCAGAAGAGCAGTCCAGACCCCCTAGGACTAGCTACGAAGGTTCCAGCAGGCCTCTCCAAGGACCAGAATCACTGGCCACCACAGGGAGCCATAGCATTGCCACAAACTCTCAAGGGATGGGGGTTCCACTGTGTTCCTTGGATTTGTCTCTTTCTGCCCCAACAATTTGGCCCCTAAGCATCAGCCCTCCTGAGAGGCTTTTCCTGATGGGGAAGTCAGAGCACAGCACAACAGGAATCCTGACTGACTGAGCTCGCCTGGGCTGCACCCCCATAGCCACTGCAGAGTCTCTCTGGATGGCATCAGTTGAGAAGCCCTCATTGGCTGCCCCTTCCTCCCTGCTGTTGCACGTCTCAGCCACCTTCCTTCTTTCCTTCCCTTCTCTCCTGTGAGGTGCTGGGGCCTGGATGGAAGCCCTCAGGGAGTATAGAAGGGTATGCTGTAGACTCCAGGAGGGTTGGGGGTTGCTGTCCCCCTTCTCCATCATCCAACCTAAAATTGGGATTGTGCAATCTACAGAGTCTCTCTTCTCTTTCCCATCTCCTGTCTCCCTGCATTTCACGCTCCCTCTCTTTCTTTTCCGTTAAATAATACTGTGATGGATTGTAAAAGGTACTTAGCTGAATCACAGCGTTTAGAGATGGAAAAGACCAATTAGGTCATCAACCTGATCTCTCTCTTGAGGAGATGCAGAAAACAGGAGACAACGATCAACAATTTTATTGGGATATTAATTTAGGCGCCTGAAGGCCTTGACTTGCGTCTCTTAATATAATGCAGTGGATTTCTTTTCCTTCCCCACTAATGTAATACTGGGGCAATTTTGTGAGCAGTTGGTTTGCATGGTGGCTTTCATTTCCCTCCTTTTCCCATGGAAGGTCCAGCTGGAGTTTCGGAAGACCTGGGAGCGCTGGCGGCTGGAGCACTTGCACATCCAGAGGGACAGCAGCATGAAGCCCCTCAAGTGTCCGACCAGCAGCCTAAGCAGTGGGGCCACGGTGGGCAGCAGCGTGTACACAGCCACCTGTCAGATCTCCTGCAGCTGAGACTCCAGCGTCTGACCTCCCTGGGGTCCTTGCTGCTGGCCAGGTGGCCATTCCAGGTGGGAGAGACACTCCCAGGGACAGGGGAAGGAAGGGACACACACACACACACACACACACATCCTGCTTTCCCTCCCCAAACCCATCAGACAGGTAAATGGGCAGTGCCTCCTGGGACCACGGACACATTTTCTCCAAGAAGCAGCAGCCTCCTAATTTGATCACAGTGGCAAGTGGAGAGGAAAAACGAGCGCTGTGAAAATGAGGAGGATTTCTTCCCGTGAAGCCACAGGCCCTTGGGGTTCCCCTAGACAGAGCTGCAAATCAACCCCAGACTCAAACTCAAGGTCAATGGCTTATTAGTGAAACTGGGGCTTGCAAGAGGAGGTGGTTCTGAAAGTGGCTCTTCTAACCTCAGCCCAACACAGCTGGAGTGACGGGAGCCTCCTCTGCCTGCATCACTTGGAGGCACCCCCTCTCCGTCTTCTCTCAAAGGGAAGCTGTTTGTGTGTCTGGGTTGCTTATTTCCCTCAGCTTGCGCCCTCATCTCACTGCCCAGTTTCTTTTTGAGGGGCTTTGTTTGGAGCACTGCCAGCAGCCTTTTCTGGAAATGGCTGTAGGTGGTGGTGAGAATGAGCATTGAGAAGATGCCCGCTTCTCCTCCAGGTATTTGAGTTGCTTTGGTGCCTGCCCCTGCCATGCCTAGAGAATCACGGCAGGCCTGCCACCAGGGAGCCCAGCCCTAGGGTATGAGCTCCCAAGTCTGTTTTAAAGACGCTCAAGAATCATCTGGGGTTCACCTAGGGGCATGTTAGGAATGTCCAGACTGTGGGTGTAGATTATCTGCCACTTCCAGGAGCCCAGAGGGCCAGGAGAGACATTGCCTCCAGCTCTCCTTGGAAATGTTTTCTACGTGTGACCACGTGCTGTCTCTTGTGTGAGAATTTGGATATCTTCTCTAACTTGAGGGTACGTGATCATGAAGAGACTCTCCTAGGGAAGCCAATAGTCCCCATCATCACCATGGAGGCAGGCTTCCCCTGCCTTTGGAATTCCCCCCCTTGGGAGCTTGTATATACTTCATTCACTTTTCTTTATTGCTGTGAATAGACTGTGTGCACAAACAGGCAATTCTGATTTCTCCCATCTAATGGAAATGAGTGAAATCATGCTTGTGGGTGATGCCATTTGGGGGAGTGCAGCAGTCATTGATTTGACCCGCTAACACCGGAGCTAATTAAGGTTTGCCCTGCTGCCAGCCTCCCCCACAAATAATGAACAGCGGAAAGGCTGGATGGGGAAACCTATCAATCCAGCTCTACAGCCATGGTGAGGAAGCCCCCAGCCATGGTGACACACAGCAGCACTGCAGATACCCAGACAGACGGCCATCCAAGAGAGGCTGGCAAGGAGTTCATGGATGCAAAGGAAGTTTCTGGAGCAAGAGAGAGCTCTTGGGAGTCAGGACCTCTGGGGAGAGAAGAGGGGTCTGACAGAGTCCTTTATGAGTTGGCCTTTCCCTCCCTTTTAAATGGTGGGAACTCTCCCCAAAACCTCACCACAGACATTCTCCTGTGCCCCTCAGAGAGGCCCATGATGTGCAAGGAAAATAGTAGGATATAAAACACATCAAGCAGAAAATATCTTATACTTCAGCTTCGGTGAAGTGATGTCTATGTTAATAGGGAAGTTGAACCTCAGGTTAAAGAAAGGAATTGTGTGAATGGCTGCCTTGACTGAGACCGTATAGGCCAGGGCACATTCCTGCTTCCCCAGAACAAGGGCAGGCTTCCCACTGGCACCCCTTGTTTGCTGTCTCTTTGTGAAGGTGAGCACCAGTGGGTTTGATGTGGGGCACAATTCTGGTGCAAGTGTTTCAGCTCTGGATAAACTGAGGATTTTGAGAATCATTATTATGTTATACAGGAACAAAGAAACAGAATGATATAACATGTGTGAAATAAGTTGCTGAGGATAGGGATTGTAGGGAAGAAAGTGCTTGGTTAGGCACCTGGGAAGCTCATACCATTTGATTTAAACTGTAAGTAGAGTTCTCTTCCCAACTGAAACTGGTGATTCCTGATTTGAGAAGGCTCATCAGACCCCCACACCCAAGCCTTTTAACATGGAGGAAGTTTTTCCTTCATGAATACATACCAGATACTGAACTGAAGAAATCTTTTCTTTGCTCCAAGCCCCACGGAGCTATTAATAGTCATTCTAATGGCACTGCACTATTTCTAAGCTCTAAACTAAATATGGCTCCAACAGGTCTGGGAACTATCGAATGCAATGTACTCTGAAATTCCACCAGCTGTTTACATGCCTGATGCCTAACGCCATACGCCTGGAGCTTGCTGAGAACTCTCTCGGCTGCCTCTGTCCTGGGGTACTATTGCTGACCAGCAGGGTGTAGGCGCTGCTTTTGTTTGAGCTTTGCAGCCACAAGGTCTGATGGCTGTTGTGAAAAGCAGCTGATTTCAGCACTCTGGCCAGCTTCCTCAAACTTGTTCGGGGCTTGTATTTTGTCGACTTGTCTTTGCCATTTCAGTCTTTCAAGCAGCTAAATCACAGAATTGAAACAAACCACTTATATTGCAAAGTTGCCTTCCCTATGAAATGACTTTCTGGATTGCAGGGATGATTTTTGATGGTCTCAGTGTGCCTCATGCTGTAGACCACATCATTGGAGATCTGGGAGACTCTGAGCAGAGAAAGACCGTGGTGATCCCTCCTGGCCAGATCTGCAGGATTGAGGAATGAAGCTTGCAGAGGTGGCTTGCCCAAGGGCACAACACTAGAGGGTGGCTGAGCTGGGCCAGGACCCAGACAAGCCTTTGCCTCGCAATCTAGTGAGGCCTCTGGGAAGGATAGGTGAAAACTATAAATAGCTGTTCAAGATATTCTAAGTAGAAGTCAGTGGTGTTATCTGGAATTTCTACTGAAGAGGAAATACAGTAGCAAAGGTAGACTCATCAGATGGTGAAAGTGTCATCTCCTTTATAACTAATACTGGTGAGAGGAGGGGAAGGATGTACTTTCCTATTTTTACTCTGGTACCTCTTTCATCATTGTCTTAAGAAATGAAATGTATCAGGGCACACATATGCATAGAAACAGCACCTGAACCATTTTGGATAGCAATTCCAGCACTCTTTTAATGGATTGGCTTAAATTTTTTTCTGATGCCTGTGTGTGTGTTTGAAAAGTTGTACTGATAGTCACACAGAGTGTACTAAAAGACCCTGAAAGGTCTCGAACCTCCCCTTTACCTCTTTAGAACTCTCTGAATTTGGAGACAGCTAGCAAATGGCAACTGTAGCCTAGCAAAGATGGCACAGCACCACGAAGGGAAAATAGAGTCAGCTCCCATCCATGCTCTGAAGGTCTTGGCCACTCCTATCAGGGTTGGCTGTGTTCTATCCAGCAGCTCACAGACAGAAGACCTCCCCTCCTCATTCCCTCCCATTTCTTTCTTCTGCAAAGAAAGAATATTGTGTGCTGGCAGTGTGTGTGTATGTGTGTGCATGTTTCTTCTGTGCATTGCAGCATAAAGTTAGGAGATGATGACTCTAGAATCATCACACCCACTGTGCGGGTCACAGGACCACACACTCCAGGCTGGGAGTCTAAGTGGTAGATGCTTCCTCTCCATGCACAGGCAGGGCTCCCATTATTTGCTAATGCCTGCGACGTGCTCAGGAAAGGCAAAATCTATTCCAAAGGTTTATTTTCCCTCTGTTGAATTGATTCTAATCTACAGTGCTGACCCTGCTTTGGCTTCTATAAGGCAAACTATAAAAATTCTCCAATAAAATACAGAGGCTTACTCTGCTAAGACACCTACCTGTGTGAATGACGTGCTTAACATTCAGCAGAAACCAAATTAGGATCAACTCTAACATTTCCCCCCCATTTTGTGGCTGGAGTGAGTTCCCCTGGGAAAGAAAATAGCACAAGTGAGAAACTTCTGCCAACCTCATTACCATGCCCCTACACTGTTACCTTCTGGCCCACATCAACTCTCTGGCCCTATGGAGGGCCGAGACAAGGAAGTGTTATTGAGCAGTATAATTTTGAACACTTTACTTAGTGCCACAGTGTGTCTGCAGTATCCATAATTACTTCTACTCTGCCAATGACTACAGACTGGCAGGAAGCAGATAAGCATAATTGTTTTCCAATAACTCCCCAAGTCTCTTGGACTTTGCTTATATATCTGAATCTCTCAGTGGAGAGAGTTTTCTCTCTTCTTTGGCCATTTTAGCCTGTTTTCCAGGACCTTATCTAGCACTGGCTCCATTTTTGCCCTGATGTATCCAACTTCCTTCCCCGCACTCCTCCTCCCCCACTGCTGCCTCAGGAAGAGGTGACCTTGCTATCCATACTGTGAATGCTGTTCTTTCAGCTGTGACCAATTTGGGGATACAGCTGAGGGTGCGGTGCTGTTAGGGCTGAAAAGGATGCACCTCATTCTACGTTCGGGTGCAATGAGGAGCGTGGCAGCCATCAGCTTGGATCCTAACTTACATTAGGTAATGCAACCTTTCTGATGGGGCCTGCCAAACTATCAGTAATTAGTCAGCTTAGACAATGTAGCATGACTAATTATTGCTGTGTCAAAGCAATTCAGGACAAGAAAAACATATCTAAATGAGAATGTTTAGATGTGGTAAGAAAAGAGGTCTCGCCACAGTTTGGAACGTATAAAAAGTTGAGTTATTTGCAAGGGAGCCAATGGGAGCATTGAGGAAAGGGCAAAATTCACCCCAGATAGCCAGTGCTTGATCTTGCCAAACAGTTCACACTTTACCTCCAAACCTGCGGTTCTAAGCTCCTCTCACTAAAATAATCATCACATCCTCAAAGCAGACAAACTCCAGCATCTCATCGGTTCTGCAGGGATTTGATGCAGACCGTTAAATGCACCAACAGAGAGGTAAGCCAAGCTCTCAGGAGGGACAAAGCTAGATTTCCCTTTTCAGTGCTCTTGGGGAATGTTTGCTCTTCATGAATGTTTAAACAAGATCATTTCCATGCGATGTCTTAATGTATAAATTCCTGTAAAATATGACCAGCTTCTATAGGTAGTGAATGTAATTCCTTGTATAGATGTGAATGGATGCAAACTCTTTCCTAATTTGCCTTGTAAGTCAAATAAAAGTCTGTCTCTACTGTCTCTCTTGCTCTTCCTTTGCGAGAGGAAGTTTTCTGCAATGTCAATCCAGGTGACTCACAGTGCAGTGAGGAAACACAAAAGATGCCATTTCCAGCCCAAGGAAAAAAAACCCTCCTCATTACTCACACCGTGATTCTCATCTGCAGAGCACTTACCAAGTACTAATTTATCCATCACATCCTTTATGCGGGGACTGCAATGTCATTTAATTAGAGAAGTTGGGTGGTCGAGCAGCTTCAACAATAACTGACGGCCAAATGGATGTGTATTTTAATTCCACTCATTCATTTGATCTCTCCTGTCTAAATGAACTCAGTCCATTAAATCCATTTTTTTAAAGTCATAAAAGCATAAGCTTTGTTTGCAAAACAGCCACGGAATTTGAGTGGAACTGCTGTTGAGAGATTCATCTTCAGAAAAATGAACTTTTCTCCAATTTAAATCATCACTCACTCTCCAGATTTGCAACTCACCCTTATAGAAGGGCAGAAGAATTGCAGATTTCCCTAATTCCCCCACCATTTCAGTTACACCTATTTGAAGGTCAGTGTACTTACCTGACAGCTTAAACAAATCTGCTTTTTAGACAAGCTGTGGTAATTGTCCCTTCCAAACAGAAGAATAATTCTTACCCTGAGAGCAAGTTATACCTACAGCCAGCTCCTGATAGCGGCAGGTGGAATATTTGCATTTGTTTCTCTGCACCAATCTTGCTTTTGAGTTCATTCCTTCCCCTATTGATACTCTTATCTTTCTGTGTCCTTCCCCTTCCACTTAGCAGGACCAAAAATCAGGTTTTTTGTCCCCTCCCCACCTTCCAGGAAAACATCCACCCAAATCAATTAATGGCCACCACATTTCTAGGTAGATATTACAAATAATATAAATCAGGTAGAAGTGCACCTTCTTTCTCTGAGGTTGCACTGTGGCTTAATAAGGGCTTGACCTCAGCCTAAAGAAAAAGGGTTGAGGAGCTGCCCTGCTGTTCTGGGGCCTAGCCACTGGGAGGACAAGTGACAATTCTTGGCTGCCAGACTCATTCATGTTCACATGCAATATAAAGTCACATTCCAGTGACTGCAGCCCCAGATGGGGAGGACTGAGTTCCACATAGAATTTGTGAAGGATCTCACTCACATGCCATTGCATATCAGCATTTTCAAGGGTTGGGAACTCCTGGTCCCTTCACTCACTATCCTCTCAAAATCCTGTGCCATAAACATATGGCAGTTCAGTCTCTTTCAGTCTCTGTCTCTGTCTCTTCCTCTGTCCTTCCTTTCTTCCTTTCTCCTTCCTTCCCTACTCACCCTCCCACACACAGAGAGAAAGACTGAAAACAGTGAGGTTTTCCCGATCAGAAGTAGAGAAATAATTGGTGGGCAGAGAGGGAGGCTGGAAACCAGCAGCACAAGCTTGACTAGATGACAAATGTAGCCAGATGGTTGGAGAAGATGGGAACAGAGATCCAGTATTGTGTGACACCAAGGAAGGAGTAGAACTGAGTGTTCCCAAGGTGGGAAGGGTAGGTGAGGAAGAGAAGATGAAGAGGCCAGGACACAAGTAGATAAAGAAAAAAGAAAAATAGCAGACTATTTAAATGTGAAAAAGGGCTGTAGTAAAAGAGAGGAGAAAATTGCAGAGGAGGAAAAAGGAATGAGAATTACAAGTGGTAAAAGACAAGGAACTAGGTTAGGAACCCTATCTCCAGTCAACATTATAAAATCCGTCTTCCATAAATCTGAGCTCTTTCCCTGCAGCATTCTCTAATCCTAAGCGGTGATAGAGTATTTTCTTTTGTACAAAAGGTCGTTTTAACTAACACAATGATTCTGGAAAGAGAAAAAGACCCGTGGTTTAGAGTGAATCCAACAAGATTTTTATTTTTTCACACTGACACTGGGCATAAATGTGAGAATGAATTATTATGTCTCCCCCTCATGTAGGGACCAATAGACCTTAGAATTTATTTGTGGTACAACCTCCAACTACAAACAAAATCAATAGCTGAGAATCACAAACACTGGGCAGTCCCATGCTGAGAGGTGGATTGCCTTAGAGCTAACGCAGGCTGGTAACACCCAGAGGCAATTGGTGGGCTTTTTTACCTTTCCAAATCTTTAGGGAGAAAGAGCACAGACTTGAGGAAGTAAATGATATTTATGCAAAACTTTTTAATGCCAATGACCTAAGGTGCCATTAAAAACACCCTTGGCAACTACACAGATTAAATAGTGACAACAAAAAGGCCATGGTTACTTTACACTTTAGCTCTAATCTTTGACAATTTGTAACCATTATGTAGGTTACATAATACCAGGTAAAAAACAGGTGTTTTACCACCGTATTTTTGCCCTCCAGAACCCTTCTGAACCTTCAAAATCCCTAGGAAATTGAATTTACAGCTTTAATAAACCCCATTGGTACTCATCAATTAGATGCTACTTGACAATAAAACCACCCTCAAGCTCTTTCATCTTTCAAATCCTGGTGTTAAAAGTGGAGACTAGAGAACCTAAACTAGAGACACACACCAAAGACATTTCCCCCTAGTTAAGTTAAATCAATGTCCTTCCAATGGCATCCTTCAGAAAGGCACAGTTCAAAATACAGATGAAGACCGGGCATGGTGGCTCATGCATGCAATTCCAGCACTTTGGGAGGCCGAGGCAAGGGGACCTTGAGGTCAAGAGATTGAGACCATCCCGGCCAACATGGTGAAACCCCATCTCTACTAAAAATACAAAAATTAGCTGGGCATGGTGGTGTACACCTGTAGTCCCAGCTACCCAGGAGGCTGAGGCAGGAGAATCACTTGAACCTGGAGGCGGAGGTTTCAGTGAGCTGAGATCATGCCACTGCACTCCAGACTGGTGACAGAAACAGACTCTGTTTAAAAAAAAAATACAGATGAGAAGATTTCTCATGTACACTCATATGAAAGAACCATGTTATATTAAGAATTATACTGTGTTGAAATATTCTCAGCTATCAAGAAAAACATCTGTAATATCCCAGTTACATAAAGTATTTACAAAAACACCTTCTAGAAGTTGGTAAAGATCATGAAGCCTGCCAAACAAGGCATGGTGGTGCCAGAAGTCCAGAAAACATGCCACACCCACGGGGTCTGAGAATCTACTGTAATGGCAGCGCTCTCACTAACTCTCCTAGCCTTGAACACCACCCGCTTCTCAAATACAGATCTTTTTCTGGCAGGAGGGGCCCCTTACCTCTCAAGCACCATGACTGAGTTAGTCTTGCTGTCTTTTATTACATGAGAAATATAACAGCTCTTGAGACATTCTGTATCCATGGTGCAGATCTGCTGGGAGCATGCCAAGCCACCCAAACCCCAGTAGTACTCCCAAGTTGGAGTCATCTCCATAATAAAGTGTGGGGCTCCCACACCCTCTGCAGTGGCCACCCATATGAACAGCTTTCTTCAGCGGCATTAAAAATGATGCATTGATGTAGATTTCCAAAGGCTACAGCAGCAAGATCATGGAAACCTTATGTGAACTTCAGAATCTGATTTCTCTCTCTTCCTTGGGGTTGGATCCTCCAAAGCCATCATATCCTAACATGAATTTCCTAAATGATCATGTTTCTTCACGAAACATCTCTTCCAGGGCCCCTACTCACCCTGCATTGCCCAGCCTTTCATTAGGCCATGAGGATTCTGGGGAAAATGCAAGCTGTCTAGGAAATACCCCTCTTTGCATTAATAGTTTTTTGAAAATTATATATGGGCAGAACCTGATATAATCCATGAGAAGAGCCAGAATAGCCAAAGACATTTTTTTTTTTTTTACTGATGTGGATCTGGAACAAAGCAATTGTTTCATATCACCCGGTGCCATTTTAGAAAATGTTTGGCACTGCCAAACTCAGTCTAAATCTCAGAGGAAAAGTCATTAGAAGAAAAATGATTAAAACAAGCTCTACACAACAAAGCTACTTCTGTCCCTAGAGATGGTCCACTGTAAATGAACTGCCATGTGTATAAAGAATACTCTGCCTGTAAACACATATGCTTTTCTCTAAGAGTTATGAAAACAGATCAATATTATTCGTGAAGGAATAAATGAAATATTTACCAAGAGAGAAAGGCAGTAAAGGATATGGGGTTATGGGGAAGGGTGCTATTTTAGGCTGGATGGTTAGGGAAGACCTCTCTAATGAAATGACATCTGAGAGACCCGAAAAGAGTAAGGGAGCAGGTCCTAGGATCATCTAGGGGACTTAGTTTCCAGAAAAGTCAACAGTCAAAACCCTTAAGCAGAAAGAAGCATCTTTAGTGTATTAAATCAGTAAACTATGGTTCACCACCTGGTTTTATAAATAAAGTTTTATTGGCACATTCATGTACGTATATATTGTCTATGGGTGCTTTTGAGTTGAGTAATTGCAACAGAGATAGTTTGGTCAACAAAGCCTATTTACCAACTGGCCCTTTACAGAAAGTCTGCCAAACCACAATGTAAGATGAACATCAAGGAGATGAATGTAACCTGGAAAGAAAGGCAGGGGCCAGATCACTTTGGGCCCGGTATGATAAAACCACCTAAACAAACACCTACCTACCAAACAACAAACATATCCCCAAGGGATTAAGACTGCAGATATTAGTTACAAATTGGGGTCCAAATGCTTCTTTTCATTGCGTCATTCTAGGGTACCCGTCTGACCTCTGCTTTATTTCTGGACCCCAGGGTTTTCAGCCTTTTTTTCCATGTGACAGGGATGTGCACATCTGAGAGGGTTCCAGGGACATATCTACAATAAGCCTAAACAAATAAGATTTAAGAAAATTATAAAATTAACATTCACAAATAATATTATATGCTACAAGTTATTTTGATATGAATGTGACATTTTAAATTATATTTTTATATTTATATTATATTTAAATTTCAAAGAGGTCAGCCTGGTTTGTACTATTCATACTAGTGACAACTGAATACAACTCAAATGTTTAATAATAAAGGACTGGCTAAATA